AGGAAGGAAGATTGCAAGAAAATTGTCCAACATTTTGATGCCTATCTTAACACTTGGTATAGCAAGGTGCTAAACCAAATGGGGCGTTTGATTCTCATTAAGCATGTCCTCAGTTCTATACCTTTACACATTGTTGCTGTCCAGCAAATGCCCAAATCTATTCACAACATGTTGAACAAGAAGATGCAGAACTTTCTATGGGGATACAAAGAGGGAAGGCCTAAATATCATTGGGTATCTTGGAGAGGACTATGCTTCCCAAAACATGAGGGAGGTCTGGGCATTAGACACCTGGAAGATGTAGAAGCAGCATACTCAGCCAAACTTTGGTGGAAGATTAGGAACTCACATGGCATTTGGGGAGAATACATGAGGAGTAGTTACCCAGACTCTTTTCAAGAACGTCCTAAGGATACCGTGACATGGAAAAGGGTTGCAAGGATTCATAATTGGGCCTTACAGCATGTCCTCAAAGTGGAAGAAGCAGACACCTGGGAGGGAGAGCCATTCACCACCAAGTTAGCATACCACGCCTAGAGGGACTCTAGGCCTTCCTCTCTTTCTCATAAGATGATCTGGAACAAGCTTCAGATCCCAAAGATCAGCCTGTTCCTGTGGAAAGCTTTTAACAATATACTTCCTTTCCCGGAAAACTTAACCAGGTTCAACCTGGCGTTTCCTTCCCAATGCAGGTTCTGTTTCAACGGTCCGCAGGAACTCAACCATACCCTTTTTCTTTGCCAAAGGTCTTTCAAAATTTGGAGGTTCTTCTCTGCTGTTTTTAATGGCCCTAATCCTAATAGGGAAGAAACCCTACACGAAACATGCATGAAATGGTGGGTATGCACGCCTAGGACTAAGCTGCAAGATAAAATCAACTCAGTTCTACCAGGCTTCGTTGCATGGGGATTATGGAAGGCTTACAACGAAGAGAAGTACGAGGGGAAAGCTTTCAAAGAAGGGAATATCATTGCAACAACCATGAAGACTATACAACAATGGATATGGATACACAATGGCAAGAAATGGATGCACCTGGATGAAACTTTGAAATCGTTGGGCTTTCGGTTTCACTTTAGCAGGAATATTTCTCAATGCTTTGTTGTTTAGTTTTTTTTTATTTGGTGGGGCGAATGCATCTCCCACATTGCTGTAAACATTCCTTGCTTTATTTCAATTTAAATTTCATATATATATATATATATATATATATATATATATATATATATATATATATATATATATATATATATATATATATATATATATATATATATATATATATATATATATATATATATATATATATACTCCCTCCGTCCACAAATAAACTTTACGTTCACTATTCACAGGGTCAAACTTTATTCACTTTGTTGGCCTATTTTCGTCACTCATTTGATAAAATAATATAGTCATGTCACCTCTAGTTTTGTAGATCTTTTGAGACGTGGTATATTATAAGTTTGGATATATAATGTTATTGTATATTTATCACAGTTAAATATTTTTTTAAGTCGTTGCTGTAAGAAACTTGAATACGTCGGAAGAAATTAGAATGAATTAGAAAAAATTGGAAATTAACTTTTCTAATCTAGAAAATAAACCCTTAATGTGGTACAAATTGATAGAGTAGTGATAGTCATACTCACAAAAATAGTAAATACACGTCATCTAATGATCTAAATATACCTCATGATGCAATCCCTCCATCCCTGAAAATTACTCATTTTTTTTCATCTATCCTAAAAAAAAATTATTTATATTAAAAAGTTAATTTTACCCCTACTAAATTCTTAACCTACCTATTACATCACATGTATTCACTTTTAATAAACTTTACTTATTTTAACCTTAACCTACTTTTATTCATCACATCCAAAGACATTCTTGAAAACTCAACGCCAAAATATACTCCCCTTAAATTCCTTAACACAATTGCATCTTCATCCATGTTTTTACATCTTCAATAATCCCACATAAACCACGAACCCAAATATATTTTAAAATATTACATCTTCACAAGAGTTTTTTTATTAATATAACCCAAAGACATGAAACACTATTAAGGGGAGTGTATTTTACTTGAATTTTAAAAGATTTTGATATATTTCATATAATCCATTTATGGGTTATGCAAAATCCATGGAATGTTTTATTTCTATATGGGTTTGCCCTAACATCAATAATTAATTACAAAACAGCTTTAAAATAACAAAAAATTATAGAATAAATATAAAAATAATTTTGGCTTGATAGTAGGTTCCTTTTATGCATCAAGTGTTCTTTCAGGTATTTTATCAAACACTTTAGGTGCAAACTGAACTTCATCTTCTTCAAAGAAAACCTTGTTCATTTTCACACTTCAAAATAATTCAAGACTCAAGAGCTCCTAAAAAACAATTAGAGAGCAATTGAAAGTAGAGATCGAACATACCTTATTGATATGGAAAATCAATTGGAGATGTTCTTTGACAACGTCGATATGAGTGATGATGGGTGCTCGGATATTCGTGGAATGAACACGCAGTGCAAGCATTAAATCTCCCATGCCAGAATATGGAAAAAGCTAAACAAAATGAACGGAGATTGTGGGTTGATTTTAGGGTGAAGAAGGCTAGACGAGGCAATATTGATGGGGGCTGGAAATTTCTGAATTGCCCTTACGAGAAATTGGAATGAGTATCCAGCAAGATCATGATCGGACGATTATTATTCCTTCTCATTTCTTTCATTAGATCTTATTCTTATTTGAACCAAACTATATATATATATATATATATATATATATATATATATATATATATATATATATATATATATATAAATTAGTTTAATTTTAAAACTCTGGCTACTGTTATTTTAATTTTTTATTAATTAAAAAATTTCATTATTATATATTACATCCAATGACCTTTAATTTGTATCTCTTTTTCAATTATACATATATGCATTTCACCATTTTATTTTTTTAATCAACATATTTATTTTATTGTTTTAAAAAAGTCATGCACTAATCAAAAAGCAAAACTTTACATGTATCTTTTTAAAACTACTAACCATTATTCGCTTTTATTACTTATCAAAAACAAAAAATTATACAAAAATTAATAAATGTGGATCATTATTAAAGCTACAACTTTTATAAATAAAATTATATTTTGATTCGAAAGATAATTTTATCAAATAGTTAAAAATTTTAGAATGCATGCTAGTCCGTGCCAAGTACTGTGTCAAAAAAATATTTTAGAAAATAGAATTTTATATTGATATCTTTCGCCCGCATTATTAGTCCGTGCAAAGTGTGAATATCACCATCCATATTGATATCTTTCACTCACATTATTTTATATAAGGACGCATGGAGTATGTTCTATATCCTATAAATTTCTCCCCTCATTTGAGTACTTCAGTTAGTTGAGTGATAGAAATCCCGCTTGTAGGATTAAACTATGAGGAAGCTCATTTAGATTCGAGTCCCTACGAAGACGTAGACATTGACCCTAGTTGTGTCATTAAGTGAAAAAATTATATAAACAGATACTAGTGCTATAAGCTTGACGAAGAATCCGGTTCTTCACTCAAGGACGAAACATATTGACATTAGGCATCATTTCATTAGAGATCATGTTCTCAAAGGTCATGTCGAAATTGAGTTCGTTGAAACCCACAACCAATTAGCCGACATTTTCACAAAACCTTTAGAGAAAGAGTCGTTCTTCCGCATTCGTAGTGAACTCGGAATCCTTGACTCCACGATGATCTAAATTGTGCATTAATTATTATTTTTGGTCCCTACTAACTTGAACGTCGGAGACGTTTTTAATTCTTTTTTGCAGGGCTCTTTTTTTATTTTCAGGTGTCAAAGTCAGGGGAAACAAAAGAAATCGATTTCTAGTTCCCAGGACTGAGTGTAAATCGATTTCCAGACTTGTGATAATCGACTATCACAACCCACAGGAGTTGGAGAAAAGAAACTGAAGGAGCCAACAATCGATTATCAATATTGAGATAATCGATTATCTGAGCCTGCAGGAGTTTGAGGAAACTTAGCTGGAGACATCAACAATCGATTTACAAAAAACATGTAAATCGACTATTAAAGCCTTCAGAAATTTGAGGCAAATTCTCTCCAACAATCGATTTACAACCAAGGCAGAAATCGATTATTGAAGCTTGCAGTTTCTTTGGAGGAGAATCTGAAGCCTCAGATAATCGATTTACAGGAAGTGTAAATCGATTATCAACGGCGATTTTTCAAAAATCTAACCGTTACAGAGACGTTAGAACTGCATTCAAGGCACCTTTTTGACTTCCCAAACGCATCTCAGGCCTCTTCCACTATATATTGGTGATATCCTTTCATTTTTTACTCACTCAAATCACAATTCCTTCATATATTCATCAATATTCTTGCAATTATTCTTCAGTGTTCTTGCAAAATCTCTGCAAATTTCTCTTTTCTTTGTCTTGCTCTCCCTCTCTCTCTTTGTTGAAATGGCAGGAGGTCAAAGAAAAAGATCCCGCACCGGCAAGAACGTTGCTTCCTCTTCGGCTCCTCCACCACCGGCGCACAAGTATCTTGACGGGTCGTTCCTTTGGTTCAACGACCGCGAAGAGGCGATGCGGTTCTCCGAAAAGTTTGAGCATCGGGAAATTCTCCCTCCCTGATTCTCCACCACCCGCTTCATTCATGACTCCATTCCACGTGAAGCACGGATTATCCTCGAATGTGGAAACTTCCTCGATCTCCTCTACATCAAGAAGGTCAATTATCAACCCTTTCTTGTTCGAGCTTTCTACTCGAACTTGAAAAAGGATGAGGACGGAGCTTTGATCTCTAACGTCAACGGAGTGGACATCTATTTGAATGAGGAGAACATTCAAATTCTCACCGGGCTTCGTCAAGATGGACAGGATCTCGGGCTCTACGTTGGAGAAGAAGGAGTACGGTTCAACGAGACCGCTCTCTTGGAGGAAGTGGGCATTCGACACTTCGTACCCACTCCCCAATAGCGGCGCCCTACGATTGCTTCCATGAGCCCCGTGTTTCGATTCATTTTTTATGTTTTGACACGGATTCTCAAGCCCAGGAAGTTCAATCACACCACTCTCTCCCAGGAGGACACGAAGACAATTCATGCGATGATTCACAACGCCAATCTCAATTGGTGTAAATTTGTGATGACTCACATGTTCACGGCCACCTCCGACAATCGGCCGCTCCC